TTATATCCAGTCTTTATATATATATATATATATATATATATATATATATATATTGATAGTATTGAATTCTATCTAATATTGTGTAAATAAAAATCACATACATGTGATGTAATTTGTAAAGTTGAAAAAGGAATTATAAGCTAAAAGATGTATAATTTAAGTATAAGTAAGGATTATTAGTGATTATAAGGGTCCAAATTCTGGATATAATGTTGGTTAGTACTTAGGAGCCGTTTGGTTACTGGTTAGAGTTATACATGTATTAGTTATACAGGGTTTAGTTATGTAAGTATTAGTTATGCAGAGTTTAGTTATACATGTATTAGTTGTTCAAGTTTATTTAGTTATGTAGAGATCACAATACATAAATTATTAACTATATATAGGTAAGCAAATAGTATAAATTCTCCCACTTTTTGAATAAAAAGTAAAGAAAAAAATTCTCCCTCTATACTTAATTGGGACCGCTATTTTTTTCATTTGGTTATTTTTTTATGTTTATAACTTATAAAAATAAAATACGATTAATATATTTCAAGTACATTATAATATCCTATTTTATATAATGTAAATATTCTATTAATATGTTGTATATATTATTTATACATTTTTAATATACCAAACAATATATAAATTATGTATAAATTCACATTCTAAATAAAATAATAATACATATTAATTAAATAAGTGGAATATATTTAATAATATATAACCTTAATATATGATTAAAGTATGTGCACAGCAAAATATATACAATTCAATTTGTAATATTAATAAAATATTACATTTGGATTTCAATGAAAGCAGGAAAAAGAAAAGTTGTTCGTGAATTTAAAAAAGAAAAAGAAAAAGAAAAGAAGTTAGGAAAACAATATAGTTAGGTAAAGTTTTCAATAAAAAAAATTAAAAATAAATGAATAGGAATAAATGCGTAATTTAGTATTTTAATACATGTATAGCTAATTCATGCATAACTTATTCCACATTTTATCTTGCATAACTTATACATAGATTTCCTCATAAGTTATGTTGGTATTAATTATGTAGGACTACAAAGAAAAACACAACCAAACACCGCATAAAATTAATACATGAATAACTTTTATACAATATTTGGAATCCTACCAACCAAACATGGTATAAGCTATATTGACTTTTCTACCTAATACAAAACTTCTACCAAACATAGTAAAACTAATGCAACCATTTATACATGAATAAAATGTAACTTATACAGTAACCAAACGGCCCCTTAGTACATTAACTTTAGTTAATTAAGCAAATGCACTACTTAATGTTGCTACATCACTTTCAGCTTTCAGGTGATTTTTGTGATAACCCAACGAAAATAGACGTGATGGAGCTTGTCTATTCCCACCAAGACAAGTCAGCCTCAACCCAACAAAAATCAAAGAAAAGTGGAAATATAAAGCAAGAACAAGACAAAGGCGGAAAACTTATTCATTCTAAATAATATCCAAAAATTTAATTGTCATGTGTACAAGCGACTAAATACATAAAGTGCGGAATTTAGTAGTAAGTACAAGTCTCAGTCTTTGTTTCTCAAATAGAACAAAGTATAAAGAAAAGGAAAAAAAAGGGTCCGCCGAAGTGACAAGCAACTATCTCTTCAAATCCTTAACAAACCTTGAAATCAGAAGAATGAGAAAGAGATCACACGATTCCAGGCTTGGAACCTACACAAGTGTAGAAGCAAGGAGTGAGTATCAACAACAAGGTACCCAACAAGCAACCTAATAAACAAGGCATCTAGCTAGGAATCGAGTACCCCTTACATTCCAACCGAACCTCCTCAAACTACAACCTGCACAGAAATAAGCCTAACCTAACAGTTCTACAATACATGCTCACAAGCAGGGGCGGAGCTACCCTTGCCCGAGGGGTGTCGCTTGACACCCCTTCATCGGAAAATTACGTTGTATAGGTAAGTCAAATTCTGATTTTATACCTATATATATATATTAAAATTGACACTCCTGAATCAAGTTGAAGGGTTGGTTCAGCGGTTCATGGGCTACAAAGTTCCGCCTTGTCATTGACCTAGGCGTTGGGAGTTCGAACCTTGCTGAAGTCAATTTTTTTTAAAAGGCTTTCAGCGTTTATTTTTACTTTTTAGATAACTGTAACTTTTTTGTCTTTAGTTTTTAGATAGCTAAACGTTTTTTCCTCCAATTTTTAAACCATTGACTTAAATTAAGTTTACTTTAATATTTTATTTTTAAAAAGAAATAAAATACACTTTAGGGATTTAGAGTCTAGGGATTAAACAAATCCCCAATTCCAAAATCAAAAGTTTCGAAGAGGAAGAGTCCAAAAAAGTCGTCTTTGTTCGCTGACTGTGTCGTGCAGCCGTCTTCAGACTTCAATCGCCATTGCTCGGCGTCAATCTACGTCCTGGTCATAGCAACGGTAAGTTCCTACTTTCTTACACCTTGTATTTATTTTCCTGGTCCAATTTGTTAATGCCAGCCATCATAATGCTTTATTTATATTTACTTTTTTGTTTAGGATTGATTTATCGTTTGCAATTATATATTTTTCTCATGAAATTTTTGTTTTACTATTCAGTCTCAAAAATCAGTGAAGAACTATTTTTTCCAAGTACCAAAATCAAATTTGGCTTCTAATAGTCAACTTACACGGGAAGAAAATGCCATCCAATCAGAAGTACCACTCCATTCTTCTCAAAGACAAGAAATTGATTTAAATTCTTTAGAATTTGATCCAGCGAAAAGGACTCCAATCTTGAACTATCATCCAAATGATCGTGATGTAATTAGGAGAACATACCTCCGACAATGTCCTTGTCAACCTGAGAATCATATTTTTCCTCAAACAGACTTTTATGGAGATATGTGTCGTTTTAATCCTGAATGGTTTAAAGAGTATCATGATTGGTTGGAATATAGTGTAACTAACAATGCAGCATATTGTTTGAATTGTTATTTGTTTAAATATGATAACATTCATCAAGGTGGAGGTGAAGTATTTTCTACTGTAGGGTTTAAGAGTTGGAATAAGAAGAAAAGTTTTAAGCAACATACTGGTGGGCCGAATAGCACTCATAATCAGGCAAAAAAAGAAAAGTAGAAGATCTAATGCGACAACAACAGTCTATTATATCTGCATTTGAGAGACAATCTGATCAAGTTAAGCATGAGTATTGGCTTCGCTTGTCTGCCTCAATTGATGTAGTAAGACTTCTTTTGAATCAGGGATTTGCATTTCGGGGTCATGATGAATCTAAATCATCACTTAATAGAGGTAATTTTCTTGAAATTCTCTCATGGTATGCGAAATATTGTGATAAAATTTATGATTATGTATTGGAACGTGCTCCTCAGAATGACCAAATGACTTCTCCAATGATTCAAAAAGATATTGTCACTGCATGTAAGATAGAAACCATCAAAGCTATTATCCAGGAATTAAATGGTGACTATTTTGCTTTATTGGTTGATGAATCTTTTGATGTGTCACATAAGGAGCAAATGGTTATCGTTTTACGATATGTTGATCGAATGAGATTTGTGATGGAGCGATTGATTGATATTGTACATGTTCAAGATACTAGTGTTTTATCTTTAATGGGGGCAATTATCAATGTACTTGCTTAACATTCATTGAGTCTATCCTATGTGCGCGGACAATGTTATGATAAGGCAAGTAATATGCAAGGCAAGATGAATGGCCTTAAAATGTTGATTAGGCAAGAAAGTATCTCAGCTCACTCTATTCATTGTTTTGCTCATCAACTTCGATTAACTCTTGTTGCAGTTTCTAAAAAATGTATTCAAGTGGGAGAACTTGTATTATTGGTTTCAAATGTTTTGAATGTGTTGGGAGCTTCATTTAAGCGTATGGATAAATTTTGAGATTCTAAAAAAAAAGAATTCAAGAAGCATTAGATATGGGTGAACTTACAACCGGTACCGGCTTGCATTAAGAACTTGGTCTTATAAGAGCCGGTGATACTCATTGGGGATCTCACTACAAATCTTTTAGCAATTTTATTCTTATGTTTGGATCTATTGTTGATGTTCTTGATGCACTTGTTGTTGATGCATATTCTACCGATGAAAGAGCTAAGGCAACATGATATCTCGAAGTTTGTCAAACATTTAAGATTGCTTTTATGTTGCATTTGATGAGAGATATCTTAGGAATCACAGATGAGCTCAATAAATCCTTGCAAAAGAAAGAACAAGATATTGCAAATGCTATGCTACTGGTTGAAGTAGCAAAGAGAAGGTTGCAAATGCTAAGAGATGATGGATGGGATGCTACTTATTAATAAGGTATCCACATTTTGTATCAAGTATAACATTTTGTTACCTAATTTTGATGAGCCATATGTTAATTCTGGAAGATCAAGGCGTAAACCTACCGATTATACGGTCTTACATCATAATCGTGTTGAAGTATTTTGTAAGATTATTGATTGGCAGCTTCAAGAACTCGATGATCGTTTCAATGAGGTGACTACTGATTTGCTTCATGAAGTTACTTGTTTGAATCCAGTTGACTCATTTTCGAGTTTTAACATTAGAAAAATAATGAGAATGGCTAAGTTATATCCTGATGACTTTGATGAGTTTAGTATGAATGCTCTTGAGAATCAACTTGCCACTTACATTATTGATGTTCGTGATATGGATGAAAGGTTCTCCAATCTTAATGGACTTTGTGATCTGTCTAGAAAATTAGTTGAGACAAAGAAGAACTTAAACTTTCCTCTTGTATTCCGCTTAGTGAAATTTACTTTGCTTTTACTAGTGGCCACTGCATCCGTTGAAAGAGCTTTTTCGGCAATGAAGTTTATTAAAAATGCCTTGGAGAATCGGATGAATGATGAGCTTTTGAGCGGTTGTCTAGTTCCTTATGTAGAAAAAGATGTATTTATTAATATTTCTAATGATACTATTGTAAAAACATTTCAAGAGATGAAACCGCGTCGAGTACGGTTGTAATAATGTAATTATGTTTTGCTTTTATTAGTAAAATTTATTTTGTTGAATTTTTTGTGTGCATACTACTTTATATTTTGACACCCCTCAATCTAAATCCTGGTTCCGCCACTGCTCACAAGGCCCAACATCCGCAATTCAACAGTAACAAATCAACCATCAAACGAATCAATTAAGTCAATCTCAATGTCAAGTAGATAAATTGTACGTAACAAGTACATCAATCACAATTAACAAGCAAGTCACACATAAACATCAAATGCATCAAGTCACTATAATCAATCTCTCGCCGAAATCATTTCCCATTGGCACAATATTTCTAGATGAAACTATTTCTCATCGAATTTATATCAAATTACTATCCGAAACCATTTTCCATATGGTTAATATCTCTAGCCAGAATCATTTTCCATCAGTTTTATATCACTAGACGGCAATGACCTAAGCAGCATAAGCACTTCACAGAAATAACCTCGGCATCATAAACACTTGCCGAAAACGACCTCAGTATCAACTATCACATGTATCATCATGATGTTCAACAATCAATGCACACAAGCAATATCACGCCATACGGAAGAGACAACAATTAATGCAATTCAAGTCAACAATTTATGCTATCAAGCATTTCATCAATCAATCAATAAGGATCACAACAAGGCAATTCACATCATCATGTTCATCACATAGCCTTTTCAATGTCAACCCCTTTTTATTCAATAAGATTTATAAAGTAGACAAGTAACCCTTCACCTCATTCTCATTATGTAATACCCGAGAAATTTTTTTGAACTAAGACTTGAACTATCTTTCGTTGTGAGTAGGATTTTATCTAGGAATTAAATTTCTTAAATGTTAAGGTCACTAGATGTAGCACCTTGAGTTCCAAAATGAATTAAATTGGAAATAGCAAAATCTGAAATTTTGCAAGTTAAGCTAAGTATGAGTTTTGGGTCGACTTCAAATGATCATAACTCCTAGATCATGATGAGTTAGGTGTTCTACCCGATACCGTAGGAAATATCTTTGAATTATCTTTCCAACGCCACCGAGTTTTCCAAGTTTCGAGGTCGGATGAGTGAGATATGACCTTTTGAAGTTAGGCTGTTCAGTTAAGGAAAGTTAGCCGGAAATAATAAGGGGTATTTTAGTCTTTTCCTTATCCAAACAGATTTAAGTCGTGTTTAGTAATATTTTTAAGGGTCTAATCCTATTAAGTTCAGTTTTATAATCCTAAATTAGCCTAGGGTTTTAGTTGAGAGTTCAAGAAGAGAAAAGAAGAGAAAATAGGAGATGATCAAGCGTTCGTCGAGATTCTTGCGTTTTGTTGCGGATTTTCGCCATGGGTCTAATCTCTAAGAGGTATGTAAGCTTCCATAGTGTTGGTTTTGTTCACCCACACGCCAAACATGTTATTTTCAGCGCAAATTTCATTCTTGAAGTTGAAAGATTAGAGTTCTTGATAAGTTATTAATAGGTGTTCTTGAATTTCATTCTAAATCTTGTTGTGTTGGGTTTTGGATGATTTCTTGAGATCAAAGTGAGTGTTTTAAGGGATGTATTGAGTAGATTAGAGTGTACTTATGTTAAGAAATCAATTCTAAGTGATTGGGGAAGAAACCATTCGATTCTAGGCGAAATAGGGTGAGAAAACGAGAAAAGAAACTTGCTGAATTTTCTGGGTTGGGGCCTGGCGCGATGCGCCTGCCAGAGC